CCTGTCCCGCGGATTGGCCGGTGGGTTGGCGGGCTTGGCGGGCGGGCCAAAGCGGCTGGTGGTCGAAAAACACCAACCCGCCCCGCCATATTATGGCGGGCTGGCCCGCCGGCCTGGCCCATTTTGTCATCCCTAATCGTGAGTAATCGTCTATGAATGATATAAAGTATTGTTGACCATTCCACGAAGGTGTAAGAAATGACCCACAAATGTCCATATGTATCAACTCTAAGACGTCTGTAGCTCTATATGCACCTAATCTCTTCGCCCTGGTCTATTTGTCCTTAATGCATTCAACACAACCATCAAAGTTTGTGAAGTCAATGGACTCTAAGATTTCATTTGACACAAGTCGTTTAACTCTATTTTTAGAGATGTAACCTAAGCGCCTGTGCCATAATGCTCCTGAATGAGTTTCGTCAATTTTACGCTTAGTACCCCGTGATTCTGTATTAAGGGTTTCATTATAGGTGGTCACAGTATCAAGTAAATACAGATTATCATAAGGCAAAAGTGAACTAGTTCCAAAAATATCTGAATTAAAAGACAAACTGAACTTATTGTTTCCAAATGAACACAAATAACCTAATTTGTCCAAATAAGAAACTGAAATCAAATTCCGTCTAAATGATGGCACAACAAAAGTGTCTTTCAAATCCAAATAAAAACCAGTACTCAATAACAATTTAAAATGTCATATAGCTTCCACCTCTACCGATTTGCCATCTCCAACATATATCCATCTTTCATAATCAATTGACTTCCAGTAGCTTAGACAACCCTTCATAGAAACACTGATGTTAGTAGTTGCACCTGAGTCTAAGTGTTACTAGGTACTGATGCTAAATTTACTTCAGAATAGACCAAAGTAGGAAACATACTTTTGAGGATCGAACAAAATTTAAATTGGCAGTATACAGAAGCAATTGTAGCTAAATTAAGAACAAAAAAAACAAACTAATTATTTTCATAGTATAAAAATAAATAATTATATATATATATATATATATATATATATATTCAAATAATGGTTTAACTCATCTCAAGACACCCAATGCATCATCAATATCAAGTCTTTGGACAATAATATTAACTGTTAGGAGTATCTTGTTGTAATGATAAAACATTGACAATAAAGCACATCCAACAACAAACCAGTCTTTGGATTGATTTATCATCGACAAAGAAAATTCTTATAATTATCACATATTTATCACTACAAGTGTGTATGCAATTCGACCAAATATTAATCTTCCTTTGGACTGACTAATACTTGCATGAATATACACAAACACTAACATTCAATATTTTTCACTGAACTACCAATTCAAGAGAGGTTACTTTGGTGACTTCTTGACTCAATTTACTCACAAAAAATATTAAACTACCAAAAAATTGAATATTTTATTTATATAACAAAACCAAATATTTAATATTTATTTATTTAGAGTTAACAACGCAAACTAATTCAAAAGAAAATTACCTCATTAGAATCGACTAAGGATGAACACCTCCCTAGAATCACACTAGGGATGAAATAGAGATAGTTTTCACCCTCTTTAACACACTGTTCAAGAAACAGTGCAACCACCTAAACCCTAAAAGGGGATTAAACCGTAATCACTCAAACCCTAAACAGGGAATTTAACATCAACTTCCCTTAAACCCCCAGAAGATAAAGGTAATAAAATAAGAATAGTCACACTTGTGGAAACATTCACCAGTTTCCTAAGATCCTATGTATTGAGAACTCCCTCAAAATCACCCCCAATTCCAAACTTATCCATATCCACCATGAAAAGAAAGCGAAAACAAAACCTAGAAAAAACAAAACAAAACAAAATATTCAAAGAGAACAGAGAACCCAATACAAGAAAGATTGAAACTTGAAATATTATTTCTTTCTCAATAAAACTTGAAACTTAAACCGAAACAAAAGGGAAAAAACGAAGAAGAAAAATCCATAACTTACTCTGTTACGATGATGAAACTTTATCTCTTTATGATGAAATTGATTGGGTTTTAAGAAACCCTGAATTAGCCAATTTGAGGATCGCATAACGCAGTGGATTAACGCATTCGAATAAAAATTAGGGTTTCCTCCATGGTTTCATCAACGAACCGAATCAAATTGGGGATGTTACTCCCAAATTTAAATTTTAGGGTTCATGAAAATTGGAATTTTATAAATTAAACAAAATCTGAAAATTTTTAAATATTTCCTAAGACAGACATGAATTAAGTATGGACGACTCTGATACCAATTGTTAGAAAGCTAATAATTATGATCCTGATTTTGATTCTAACGATCAAACATAAATATTATCTCATATTCATAAACATGTTGTACTGAATGCAAAAATGTACCTGAATTAACCATAATGATGATATCACTTTTAGAGCATTATTAATCTTACGGTCTTCCATTTAAAAAACACATTTATTTTCCCTCTATATTTTTTCTCTTGATGGAGATAAAAAGAAAGAAACGGAACTAAGACTTATGTTACGTGTGTGTTCTCAAAGGGAATCATAATTCTTTAAATAAATAAAATTAAGTTAATTACTTAAGTTTTAATATTTTTAATTTGATCCTCATCAAATTAAAAATTATTCTATGATCTCTATACAATTTTATTTTCAATGATATATGTTTTTAAATTAAAATTTTAATTTAATCAAATCACTTTATTATTTGATCTTAATAAATAATAGTCATAACATATTTAAATTATATATCATGTATATATAACCCAAAATTTACCAACAATAAATATTTTCATCATATAATATATTAAGTTGATATAAATTTGCTTACCCATAGTTGTGTGACACGAAATTCGAGTGTTGACAAGCCATCCCATAACCCAAAATTTGCCAATAATAAATATTTTCAAAATATAATATAATTAAGTTGATATCAATTTGCTGGCCCATAATTGTGTGACACGAAATTCGAGTGTTGACAAGCCACCCCACACCCCATCCCTAACTTTTAAGAACCACGTATAGTGGGGAAATAGCTGTCTGTGATTTAGAATTCAAATTACATCGCAGTGGTTGCGTTTCAACCATTCTCTTCGTCCTTTCCGTGCAAGGCAACACTATTCTTATATTCTTCATCACTAATGGACCACCATCGGGACAAACTACCTTAAATATTTGCTGCCGTGATAAAATAAATAAAATAAGATTAATTCTAACAAAAATAATTTATATAATTTAAAAAAATGTAAAATATAAATGTTATTATGTAATATCTTAATTTATATTTAATTTTGTTTTGATAGAAGTTTTTTAAAAGTCTTAAAAAATATTTTTATTTTATTTATTTTTATAAATTGTTTGATAAAATATTTTAAATAACTCATAAAAAAATAACCATTATCCTATATTTTAAAGGATAAAAAATAATTAAGATAATATTAAAGTAATTATACATTGACAGTTAAAAAAATTAACAATAAGCAACGAATTATAATAATATATTTTATTATTATATAATTATAATGGGTTGTTTATGGTTATTGTCATCTCTTATTGTACAAATATCATTAATATTTTTATTATCACGTATACGTCGACTTGACCTAGAGGCCTTCCCATAATAGGAAATTTTCATTGACTAAATAATTTTTTTTTTTTTATCTTCAACTATTTGAATTCTCAAAGAAATATGAACATTTGTAGGTGGATCTCTCCACATTCTTGGAACAATTGCAATTAATTTTATACTGGGACGGAAACTTACTCGTAATGAGATCAGATTCTTTCAATTATTTGTGATCAAAATTAACAAAATCCAAATTACCAAGTTATTTATTTTTCAATTTTATTTATAATTTTCTTGGAAAAACAATTACCAATGTGCTTGTCATCATTGTAATACCTGTACCCAACCTTATTAACATATAGAACATAATAATATATGTAGTTGAAAATTCAAATTATATTAATATCATTGAACAAATATCTTTATTACTTAAAATATCTTAAATAAGAAGTTTATAAATTATGTTATTTTATTTGTTTTAGATTATATTTTACTTTATTAAGAAAGAGGGTATATTTGAATCATATTTTACTTTATTAAGAAAAAGAATATACACCATGTTATAACTTAAATATTAAGGTGTTTCTCATTCTTAAAATAGTTATAATTATTCTTATACTCAAATGAATGCTTATTCATGCTCTATTAGATTCCGAAAACTCTTTTGTCATCAGCATAAACAAAATCCAAACTACCAAATTATTTATTTTTGGTTTTTATTTATAATTTTTTTAGTAAGAACAAATATCAATTAGCTTGCCATGTATACCACATGTACCCCCACCTTATTAATACAGAGCACGCAACACATGCGGTTGACAATTCAAATCATATCCGTTAGGTTCATTTTCACATACAGTGATGGAACTACATGTTTTTTTGCCCCAAACTTTTTTTAAAATTAATATATATTAGTCTATCTTATTAACTTTATTATTATTATTATTATTATTATTATTATTATTATTATTATTATTATATTTTCAATGAAAATAGTTTTTAGAATTTTTTATTAAAGGTATAAAATATAAATTTTATTATGACATATCTTATTTTATTTTAATAGAAAATTTAAAAAACTTAAAAAAATATTTTTATTTTATTTTTATAAATTATTTGAAAAAAATAGAACATTTTAAATAACTTAATAAAATTATACTTCTAATATAACTAGTGTTTTACAAACATTTCAATAACAATTCTATTGAAGATGTTATACCAGATTAGGTTTTGTTGAAAGCATTGTCATCGCATTCTGCAGTGTTCCAATGCTGGCATATAGTTTATGTTCCAATCAGAGATAAAAAAATATTATTTTTTAATTGTATTGGTACTTTTCATTTTTATGAATTTCTTATAACATGCTTAGGCCTCTATATAATCGCGTGTTTTCTGATATGAGATTCACCACACATTGTTTTCTTTCTCCTCTTAGATATAAGTGGCAATGGTGTCACCACTTGTAATTATATGTCTTACTCTTCCCATGCTTTTGTTATTCTTCTTCCAAAATCGCAGAACCTTCAAGAAGTCACCCTTTCCACCTGGTCCTAAAGGCCTTCCCATAATAGGAAATCTTCATCAGCTGAATAATTCTCTTCTTTATCTTCAACTATTTGAACTCTCAAAGAAATATGGGCCTATATTTTCCCTTAAATTAGGATTAAGGTCAGCCATTGTCGTCTCCTCACCTAAATTGGCCAAAGAGTTATTCAAAGACCATGACCTTGTGGTTAGTGACCGACCTAAATTATTTGGCCAGCAGAAACTGTCCTACAATGGGTTAGAGATTATATTTCCCCCATACGGTGAATCTTGGAGAGAAATTAGAAAAATTTGTGTCGTCCATGTCCTTAGCTCCAGACGTGTATCAAGATTTTCCTCAATAAGAGTTTTTGAGGTGAAGCAAATGATAAAAAAATTATGTGGGCACGCCTCATCTTCAAAGGCTACAAATTTGAATGAAGTGCTTATGTCTCTTAGTAGCACTATCATATGCAAAACCGTGTTTGGGAAGAGATATGAAGATGAAGGAACAGAAAGGAGTAGGTTCCATGGACTATTTAATGAGTGTCAGGCCATGTTTGCAGCCCTTTTCATCTCAGATTATATTCCTTTCTTTGGTTGGATTGATAAACTCACGGGGCTACGCGCACGTCTTGAACAGAATTTCAAGGACTTGGATCAGTTCTACCAAGAAGTAATTGATGAACACATGGATCCTAACAGAAAAACTCCAGAGAATGAGGGTATAGTAGATGTCTTACTTCAACTGAAGAAACAACGCATGTTTTCCATTGATCTCACAAATGATCACATCAAAGCGGTGCTCATGGTTTGGAACACTCTTTCTCCCATTTAATTTATCTATTCTTGCAGTAAGTGCCATATATTTGTAGGGTTGTCTAATTTAACTTGAGTAAATTTAGAATTAAAAAACTTGATAGAAATTTATTAGTGCAATTTAAAAAAGAAAAGACCAATTCCATCATGTAGAGTGGAGTGATCTCTTTTCATTATTGCTGTTGTTCGTATTTTAGTTAAAATGAGTTGAGGACAACGAGTTCACGAATGGATAATTAAAATGATGTTTTTTTAATTACATTAAGAATATTATATGTTATTGGACCTCGATTATAAATATAATTAAATTATAATATATAAATAAGGTAAAATTTCGTTCTAATTATATCTATTTTCTCATATTTACTTTCAAACAAAAACGACTGGGTGCTTTCTATCCGCAGAACATGCTTGTAGCAGCAACGGATACAACTGCAGCCACGACAGTGTGGGCTATGACAGCACTACTAAAAAATCCAAGAGTGATGAAGAAAGTTCAAGAAGAAATTAGGACTTTGGGAGGTAAGAAAGAATTTCTAGAAGAAGATGACATTCAAAAGTTTCCTTACTTCAAAGCTGTGATAAAAGAGACACTGAGACTGCATCTACCAGCACCATTGCTTGTGCCAAGAGAAACAAGTGAAGCATGTACGATAGATGGTTATGAAATTCCAGCTAAGACAATAGTGTATGTGAATGGTTGGGCCATACATAGAGACCCTAAGGCTTGGAAAGACCCCCATGAATTTATACCGGAGAGGTTCTTAGATAGTACTATAGATTTTGGAGGGCAAGATTTTGAGTTCATTCCATTTGGTGCTGGTCGTAGAATTTGCCCTGGCATACCAATGGCAGTTGCCTCATTGGATCTTATTCTTGCTAATCTTCTGAATTCCTTTGATTGGGAGTTGCCAGCAGGAATGAAAAAAGAAGACATTGATACTGAAATGCTGCCAGGGATTACTCAGCATAAGAAGAATCCACTGTATGTTTTGGCCAAGACTCCAATGTAAAAGTTTTATCAAAGAAAATGACTTTTATAATACTGTTTGTAATTTTGTTATGGGCAACAAATAATAAAATTAATAAAAATACAAAGGATACTTCAACTCAAATACAATTAAAGGAACTAGTTTCAATCTTATACCTCTCTATACTTCTGTTCACCACTCATCATTGTTGTCCAATGTTAAGTGGATTGTGTAACCCTCAAATCATCTCTTATATATTATCATGATTTATGTTTACGTAAAAAAACAATTAAACCAAATAAGAACATTAAACCAAATAAGAAAAGAATATGAAAACTTGTAACTGAAGAAAAAAAAACATAGAAAATCATGGACATAAATTCAGACTACAGACCTGAAAATCATATACTATTTAATATATATAGAGAGAGAGCACCATCGAACCAAATTTATTAGCTAATATATCGGGGTGAGAACAAAATATACCACACAGTTCGTTTTATCACCAAAAATATATGAGAATTTTTTCTATTAAAGTTATTACTATGTAACATTAACGTTATGATAGTGTGGTATATTTTAGGGTTGTGATATTTTAGAAGTGACGGCGATAAATATATAAGGAATTTAAGATTGTACAAAATATTTTTAAATAATAAAGATAATTTAAGAATTAAATTACTCTTTATTTTCATTTTTTTTTCTCATATTATGATACACATTGAAAGGTACAGTAAAGACTTAAAAATAACCCTACAATACTATAACATTATAAATATAAAGACTGTATAATTATAATTCAAGTCTCTTAAAATATTTTCAATATCCATTCAATCTCAATCAAACATTTTTTTTAGTAACACATCATTACTAAAAATTATTATTTTTTATGGGAATATTTTTGTAAAATTTTTGTAAATATTATAAGAAATAAATTTTCTATAAATTTAAACAATTTTTTTAAAAGAAAATTGGTAAAGAAAAACTAGTTTTCTACTAGTGCATTATTCAAAATTCTCTTTCTTAATGTATTGCTATTGAACTTATGAAACTTCTTTATTGAGTCATCGAAGTTATACTTTATTTTATACTTCCACTTTAAGCCAATAAGTTCTTTATCATTTGATTTTTCAATGAGCTCTTATGTTGTGATTTTTTAATTATGTTAATTTTTTTTTCATAACCTTCTTCCAAACTTCTCTTTAATTCTATCTTCATGTTTCTAATTCTACAACACAGTAATTATTCCTTGCATAAATATCACTTAAATTCTTTATTTGTTTGAGTAGCTAAACCTGAGATGATAAACTTGAAGGACTTGGTGATGAGAAATTTTGTGTATTTAGGATTAATTTCTCATTTTTAGTGGTTGAGTTTTATTGTAACTTTATTCTTCATATTGAATACATCTTTGTTGAGATATATAATCAATTGTCTCTCTATTATTTCATATACAAAATTTTCTAAATTTATTTGAGAGATACTCCTTTTTTCTATCATTTCTCAAAATTTTTATGAATTTGTCACTTTGTTTATCAAAAAGTGCTTTAAATATCTTAAATATACCAAATACTTTTTTGTGTGCACGCTGGACCACTTATATTTGTGGACACCAATTAATTCTAACACATCTTTGGTTCTTCTTACTCTTCCTTTGGAAATGGTTGATAGATAATATTTTTCAAGCATATTCCCTTCACATGCTTTTCTTCTCAATTTTTCGTAGTCCAAACATTATAATATTTTTTGAGAAAGCAATATTGTAATTTAAGTGTCCAAATTTCACGTCATTTTCTTCTCTATATCTATTCATATGATTTTTTTTGCAATCATTATCCAAATTCCACATATTTTTATTCTATTGACTGGTAAAGAAAAAGTTTTCTTAGTCATTTTTTACTTTTAGTAAATGAATTGTTTTACATATTTGTAAAGTAAAAATCCCATTGAATGGATTCAATTTTTTTTAATTATAATATTATGATTTATCTTTATTCCAACAATTTTTTTCTTTTTCATTTTTCTTCTCAAATGTTTCACACCATTTATTTGGTTTTCCATTATATTCTCTTCTACCATATTCTTTCTTCATCTTCGATATGTTTTTTTTTTCTCTTTCAAATCTACCACTTTAATAGACCCACTGATATTTATTGATTATTTTTTTTAAATGATATTGTAAATACGGATTGAAATGTCCTTTCAATTGACTTTTTAACCCAACATAATAATCTTAACTTATAAGATCTCAGGACATAATCAATTCTTAAGCTGTAAATTTTAACAAATTTTTAGTTTTTTCTATGACAAATACCATGGAATCAAATTATTCTATGAATTTTATCCATAGGCACTGTACTTCAATGTGACTTCCTTTGATTCACAAATTTTGGAAAATCTATTGAAGTATTCATTTAAATTTTCTCTTTCTTTTAGTTTTTTTATTCTCAAAATCTCTTTTAAGATATTAAATTCTGATTGATCTCACCTTGAATCTCCTTCATACAATTTTTGAAGAGTATCTCATGCTTCTTTTATAATTTTTGCTCTCACAATTCTTGAAAATATAGCTAGCAAAACTCTTCTCTAAATAGTCTCAAGATCCACTATCTGTGATGTTTTTCCTTTTCAATGTTGCTTGAAGCTCTTCATGTTTTATTACCCAAATATCATAATTTTCTCCTTCTCTCTTAAGGATCTATGGTTTTATACCACTTTATGTATGGTATTGTACAGGTAATGTTATATAGCATACAAGAAACTTATTTTATGTAAGATTGTGCATAATTTTTTTAATAAGAAGAATATAATTTAAAGATTGAATTATTTTTTATTTTAATTTTTTTCCTTTTTTCTCTTACATATTATATTACATTCAAAGGTATTATAAAGACTTAAAAATAATTCATATAACTACAAATATAAAAACTACACATTATAATGTAATTCTCTTAAAATATCTTCAATATTCATTTAATCTCCACTAAATACTTTTATAAAAACATATTATTCAACAAATAGATATGGTAGAGAAATCATAAAAATATATGTTATACCTATCTTTAGGTCCCCACGTGTCTCATGTTTTTCCTCGATAAGACATTTTGAGGTCAAGCAAAAAGAAAATATCTAGGCATGCCCAACTTCAGAAATTACAAATCTGAATCGTGTTCATATTGCATAGGTTGTTCAGTGAAGTCATGATGGGTACCCTCTTTGTTTCAGATTACATTCCTTTCATGGGTTGGATTGATAAACTTAGGGGGCTTCATGCACGTCTACGAACATTCAAGGAGATGGATGATTTCTACCATGAGGTCATTGATGAACACATGGAGTATTCTCATAAAAAGACCCCAGAGGAAGAGGACATCGTTGATGTCTTACTTCAACTGAAAAAGCATCATTCATTTTTCATAGATCTCACTAATGATAAAATAAGCAGTGTTAATGGTTTGAATCTTCGTTCCTTCGAATTTAATTCCTTCCCTTTACTTCAATTCGCAGAGAAGGAAATGAAGTCTTATTTAACACTGACGAACTAAAATTTAATATGCAAACTTTCTTTGGCCATTTATATTAACTTGTGATTTTCCTGTGCAGAAACGTGCTCCTAGGAGCAACAGATACAACCGCAGCCACAACAGTGTGGGCTACGGTTTCCCTATTAAAACATCCGAGAGTTATGAAGAAAGTTCAAGAAAAAAATAAATAGTTTAAGTGGTGAGAAAGCTATCTTAGATGAAAATGATGTTCAGATGTTTTCCTATTTCAAAGGCAGTGATAGAAGAGACCCTGAGATTGCACTTAAAGCACCACTACTTTTACCAAGAGAATAATATATGTGGATGCTTGGGTTATTCATAGAGACCCTGAGGCTTGGAAAGATCCAGAAGAGTTTGTACCTGAGAGGTTTTTGAATAGCAACATAGATCTTCGGGGACAAGATTTTAAGTTCATTCCATTCTGGTTGTAAAATTTGTCCAGTTCACGTATGGTATTTGTCACATTGGATATTGGGCTTGCTAATCTTCTTCATTCCTTTGACTGGGAATTCCCAGAAGGAATGAAAAGGGAAGACTTCAAATGCGTAAGAAGAATCCTGTGTGTGTTTTGGCTAAGTGTCAAATGTGAAGTTCAAAAGAAGTTGTAATTAGTGAACTGTAAATAAGTTAAAATAAGGTTTGTACAATGTCCACAGTATTTTTACTTTTATTTTGGTAAAACCAAGGAATTGTTTGTACAATTTACCTAGGAGTTATCTACATCAGGCTCAGAGGCCTAAATTATTCTTTTAAGAAATAAATTATAAAAAAACTTGGAAAGTTGATAGTATAAAAATGATGTAGAGAGTGATTTTTCTATTTAGACATGAAGTTCTAATGATAGATATTACTTTATCCTGGAAATACAATGGTTTAAGGGAGAAAGAATTATACTTCTTAATTATACCAAAAAAATATATTTTTTTTGAAAAATACAATAAACCAACTTATATATTATCTATAGTCCATACATGACATTATAACTATTTACTCCGTTACCAAGTTCAAGAAATTGATATATTTTTCTTATTATTTGATGGGAGCATAAATCTGGTTAGAGTCATAAATTTATATTTCCCAAAATAAAAATAAACATCCTTCGACGTACATTTTATTAGATTAGTTTGGTTGAGAAAGAGGAAGTTGATAAAGCGGAGGAGGTGGTGCGACGAGTTGAAATTGTAAAGTCCGTCGCGTACAGGCCGATAGTAGGTTTGTACTATGATGCAGTATGAGTTTTGTTATGCTATTATATTATTATTTTATTTTGTACATCTATTCTTTCTAACTCTCTGTTATCATAAATTTCACTGCACAAAATATATACGGAGACATATCTTATTATTTTCACAGCACAAACATATCTTATTAATAGTTGTCGTGATTAGTGTATAAAAATATTGTCATAGTCTACATTTAGGTTAAATCTAATAAATAATATATATTTAGTTATTGTTTAATTTTATTTTCTCTTATTTCATGAATATGTAAATTAAGAATTATCTCTTTTTCTTTATTTTAATGATAACAAATTTATTAGTTGTTGTAATAATTATAAATATATAAAGGTTCATTTCAAAAAGTTAATAAAAAATATTTATATTGAATAAAAGTTAGTAACACTGTATATGTATTATGTAATAATCTGAAAATTATAAGACATATTCCAACAGTTTAACAAATATATTATCATTTTAATATAATAATTAAGTTGAAATAAATTATTTATATTTTAAATATATAATATTTAAAAATTTTCATTATATCTTAAAATGTATTTATTTTATAATAATAATATTTTTATTTTAATCAAATATTTTAAATCAAATTGTATAATTTTTCTACTAATATTAAAAAAAGAATTTATCAGATAAATAATTATTTAAATATAACATCTTTCAATTCTAAATTTAAAAAATATAAGTTGAAACAACTCGTTATCTTACATTTTTAGTCATGTATAAAATTAAATATAATAATAATTGTAAACAAATACACTATAATTTTAAAAATATATAATTATATATTTTAATTAAATAATATTTGAAAGTATGTATTAAATTAATGGATGTAAAATTTTTTAATATGACCTAAAGATATATTTTAAGACAATATATATTCTTAAAAATTTTAATAAAAAAATTCTTATATAAGGATGATAATAAAAAATCTTTTTAATAAGTTAAATTAGGTATATATCTTTATTGATTCCTATTTTGAGAAGATACGAGTTATGACAGTTCAAAAGTGAATGAATTTAATTAAATTAAATAATATCTTTGCTAATTCCTATTACGAGAATATATGAATTATAACAGTTTAAAAGTGATGAATTTAATTTAATTAAATAATATCAACTTAAAAACATTTTTTACGAAATAATTAAGTAACTCTTATTCTTCGTGCATATACGAAATTTTAGAAAAATAATATTAATTTTTTTAACAATTATTTTAATAATCATATTAATTCTAAATAAATACATAATTATAGGATATAAAAAATAAGTTAACAATTTTTAATTTAATTAATTTTTTTAACTATTTATAGGTGAGATAAATATTTTAAAATATAAAGAATATGTTTATTTAATTATGATAATCACCTTTAAGATGAATGTTATATGGTACTAACAAGTTTTTATTATGTAATCTACTTTCCAACTTAAATTCTGATTTCGTTAATATTTTTTAAAATAATTTTTTTACATTTTTATTAGTAAATATTGGTGATAAATTTCATTATTTTTATTTTAATTATTTTTTATGTCGTAGCATCATGATCCGGTTGATCATGTTTTTAAATTAAAGTTTTATTATAAAGGATTTTTGTATTTTTTAGGGGTGCTTGTTTTTGTTTTAATTTAATATAAAAATTAAATTTAATTAAAATAATATTTGGGATTTAGTTTAGATGAATTTTATAGTTTTTACTAATGAATAATTGTTAAAAAATTCAAAAGAAATTGTAAAACATTTTCTTAAAAAAATTATATAATTATGATTATATTTATAATTTTGATTTCCCTTAAATATATAAATGAATTATAGTCTAGTAATTAAAAAATACGATTTAAAGTTGTCATATTTTTAATAAGCATAAATATATTGTAATAAAATATAGTCAATTTTAAACACAATCTTCAACGAATACAATTATATATATTTATTAGTTAATAATTAACTTATAAGAAATAAATTAGAAAAATATTGATATTGGTAACATGATTATCAAAAATATCCATAAATTTAGGATTATTTTATATATATTATGAAATATATAGAATATATATGAAATTTGCACCTTTTTATAGATGAGTATATATTTTTTATTGTCCCGTTTAAAATCTTTGACAATAACTAAAAACAAATATAATTAAAATAAATTAATAAATCAATTCAAATCATAAATCTTTAATTAATACATCAAGTGTGAGTTAAAATTTCACTTTAAAAAAAAGTAAATAACTTATAAATAATAAATATCCATAACCTAAAAATGAAAATTTTGTTATTATTAATTTCCCTCAAAATTACCAAGAAACATAATGTACCATACATTCACAACACCACATCATGTTTCTATATACACAAATGCTTGTATATTGTATATTATCCAATAACATACATAATTCACATTAACACTCACTTAGAATTTTTGAGATATAATAATTTAACTAACTACATAACATATATAAGGTAGTGGAGTTTTGAATGGTCCATGATTTGGGCTGGGCATAGTAAGACAAGACAACCGTTGATCCACAGTACTTTCTGTTTTTCTTGATCAGTGATATAATAGCTGCTAAATTTATTATAATAATTGCAGTGTAAACCCGTGAGAAGCTGCTAAATTTTTTGTTTTTTCTAAAATCTGAAACATGCAATCTGCAGCTGCATGCTGTCAAGTCAGATCCAAGTCTGCAATAGCAAGTTGTTGTTGGACTCATTTAAAATAACTTTCATCTAGGAAAAAAAAACTTGTATTATATTAAGAATTTGATATTTATGTTATATATAATTATTTATAACATTATTATACTAGTTTATTATACAAAAAAAATATACAGATATTTTTTGTTGAATAATCTGTCACCTTTCAAGATTGACAATATCAGTTTATGAGTCTTAATATAAAAACATAAATTTAACAACATGTTAATTAATGCTAATAAACATTAAAAAAAATTATTTATTATTAATTAAATTTTCTTCTTTTATCTATAAGAAGTTAATTTCAAACCTTTTTTTCTCCTACATAATTTATAGAGAAATTGGTGCGGACAAGATTTTAAGAACCCACCCCTTGTTAAATGGGTTTATTGTGTCAATTATTTCACACAACCCCCTTGTTATTTAATTTTTTTTTTTTATGTAGCTTCTTCTTCCACTACACAAGTATTTTAAATGGACAAAAATATCTTTTTGAAATGCTTAACACATTTTTAAAAATATTATATTATCAAATTTTCAAATCACACATTCAGAAAAAAAATAGAGACCATCATATATAAAAATGCATAGTCAAATATAATATTAAAATATTTAAAATAAATCATTTTAAAACATGATCAAATATTCAAAATTATGTATAATAAACACCATTCATATAATTACTTTGAATAACAAAATAATATATTATGATGAAAAAGAGATTGACAAAATCATAAATTTAAAACATAAGGTGCAAGAGGAAAAAGACCATTATTATTGCATTAGCATAAGGCCCTATTATGAAATGGGGTTTTTTTTTAAGTTAAAGCATTTTCTACTTGTACTTCTACCTTTTATTTGTATACCTTTATTATTAATTTTTATTTTTATTTTTGCATTTTGGTAGAAAATAACAAAAAATGAGATAAGAAATTACTCAATGAATTGTCATCTTAGAGATCATATTAAAATAATAAATAAAAATGCATTTTCTTAAGTTAAAAAGTTGAAACACAATAGAAGGATTTAGATGCCTAAAGAAATACTATGATGGTAGAATTAGTAACAAGAGGAAAGAGGAGGAAAGTTATTTTTTTTTAAAGAAGAAAAGGTTAAAAAAAGTTAAATAGAAATTTCTATATTTCAACCACAACCCACTTACAAAAAAAAAAAAAAAAAAAAAAAGTGCAGTATTCGTAAAAGACTATAATGAGTTACATTTATTTCAAGGGTGTGTCACTATTTTTTTTTTTTCTGTTTTTTCCATCCGCAAGTATTTTTTATTTTAGTTGATGATTAATTTTTATTGAATAATTCAATTCAACAATGGTATATTTTCATTGAATTACAACTTAGTTCGATTTTCTTTACGTGAAATGAAATAGACATTTTTGAAAGAGAAATTAACATTAAATTATAAAATTAATTTTTAGGCAATAAATTTTTTTTAGTAAAACATTATACAAAAATCATTATAATGATAATAATTCTAAGTATTAATAATTATTCACAAATGCACATTATTGTCTGTGAATAAAAGAATAAAATAATTTTAATTTTATTGATAGATGTAAATTATTTGATTTTAATTTTGTAACAAACTCTTGAAATTTTAATAAAAGAATATTTTTCTTTATGTTTTAAAAAATTATAAATAAAAAAAGAAAACATATTATTTTTTATTATATAAAATTAGAAATCATTTTAAGTCATTTCTCTCTAAAACTTTAGACTTTTATCTTATATTCTGAGTTCTCTGTGTTCTCATGTGAAGATCTGATTCATCATTTTGAAGCTAAAAAAATTTATCATTTATACTTAATTAGAATATCAATTAAAATAAGTTTATTTTTCTTTTCCTTTTTTCTTGTTTTTTCTTCTCTCTATTTGCATATGTGATGATTAGAATAAATGTTTATGACAATATTTTTAGAAAAGATGAATCCCTAATAGTCTAAGTTCTTATTAGTATATTTGGTTTGGTTGTTTAGGATTTTTTTATGCAACTTTGAGCATCTTTTCTAAAACTTTCTCTTTGAAGTCTTATTTTAGACAAACCAAATTTTCATATAAGAGATGTGTGTAGAGTCTAATGATTTTATATAATTCTTTAAAACAACAATTCATTACTCATGTAAAAATGTAATAAAAGTAAGGACTTTATTGTAGAATATTTTTACTCAAATGAAGTGTGATCAATTAAACAAGAGAAAACATTTTATTGATCACATCTTTGTTCAAATCTTTGTTCAAGTAAAAAACACTCATTAAAGCAAAAAAAACTTATAGTTGAGAGAAAATGGTCACCATATTTTTTTCAAGTGAAATATTGAATGTTTAAGCAATAAAAATTTTCACACAAATGACACTATCTTGACTCAAGTAAAAATATTTCAAAATACTAAGACTATAGAAGAAATGTCGATAAAGTGACAATGAACTCAATCAAGGGACAATCCCTAAATTTGAATGCACTTTTGTAATATTCTAAATGCAAAGTTACGATGCAATGTATCTCTTATAATTATAAATCTACTATAAAGAAAAATTAATAAAGACACTCCCAATTCCATACAAAATTATCCCAGCCTATTGTGGAATATATAGAAAATAAATAGAGTTCGAAATAAAAGAAAAATTACTAATTTCCTCAGAAAAATTAAAAAATCCATATAAGATAACTGAAAATTGTAACCAACAATAATCCCAACAAAAAATAATGTTTGTAATACATGTTTGTATACGTGAATGTAAAGATTTGAGAATGGTGATAGTGAAATTTTTTATGTTAAGTAATTACTACGAAGTTATTCTCATATAAGTGTGATTAATGTGTATATTTAGCTGACAAATTCAGTGAGTATATAGTTCTATTAATCGATAAAATCAAGTATATATATTATCAAACAAGAATGTGTATAATTTCTTAAGAAGCATTGTATTAGAAAAGTCGTTGTGTGACAAATATAAATATCTTGAAATTTAATTGTTCAAGCTTTTAAAAGTTGTCAAATGTTTGTCAAATGTTTATTATGATTGAGGGGTGAACTTATGTTTGTGTATAATATGTATAGCAACAATTGATGTTGATAATGTGTATAAATGAAAAATATGTGTGTGGAATGAGACATATTTCAAATTATTTAACATTGATTGTTTTAAACACTAACTTATTTTATTTACTATGTTGTAATTTTCATTATATAATTTATAATATAAAATAAATAATACATACATCAACATGTTTAGAATAATAAAGTTGAAAGGATTTGATTTTTATGTGTTAATATTTTTTATATTTACTCGTAATATATATATATATATATATATATATATATATATATATATATATATATATATATATATATATATGAAGAGGGTATATATTAAGGGTAATCTATTAAAGTTATATTGTAAATATTTTTTTAATTATACAATAAAATTAAGATGGTTAAATTGTTAAACTAGTCATGAAATTTTACATAAATGAGATTATCAATTTTACGGAGCAATATGCTACCTCACAGAATTTATTATGAGAACTATCTTACCAATATCATTCATTAAACAATTATGTTTTTAGAATAATTCATTTATAATTCAAAGTTTTATAACATTTTTATTCTAAAATTTCTTAATTCCTAGAATTTTAAAAAAATAACATGTCGTATTTTCTCCTTTATAATTTTTTTATTAAAAATAATACATTTATTTTAAATAAAAATCAGAGTCGTAGATTTATATTTTTTAAATTACTCATATTTTGATATATTTATTTTATATTAATATATAAAAATAAATTTGTAAAATCTTACATAAATTTCTTAAAATAATTGTAAAAAATTTAAACTCATGTGTCATGTTATTGACAAATAACTTTATATTTAAAGAATTATAATTTCTTAAAGGAGGGAATATATTTATTTTAAAAGTTAAAATTTAAGACTTATGTTTTATATTCAGTCTTATTTTTTAATTTAATATTTTAAAATAATAACTCACAATTAACTCAAAAGAAATGAATATTAAAATAAAAAATAAATATTGACCTCTTATTTCTCTTTTTAAAATAAATAATTAAAAAAATTCACATGAAATATAGTTAGAATTCAGCCAAATACTTCAAATATAAGACCAAATCCTTTCAATATCCAAAATAAATTGATGATCCTTAACTCTAGAATATCATAAAATTCTTCAAAATATATATATATATATATATATATATATATATATATATATATATATATATATATAACTTAGTCTTCAATAATGAAATAATATTTTAGACTTAAGAAAAATTTTCTGATTTTATTTTATACAAATAAATTATTATATTTTAATAAATTAAGTATTAAAAGAATATTTTTTAAAAACTAAATGCAATCTTTTTATTTTTATCTAAATTAAATCTAAATTTGACATAAAAACATAATTAACTTTTGAGACAGTGTCTTGTTCATATGTTTATGCTCCATAATAAACATTTTGTCAACAGCTGAAGTTTCTAACTAAAGTAAACAAAGCTTTAAGTCACAATATTTTCGTGCACTACCACCTACACCTACCTACAAAATATTCATAGACTATACAACACTAACACATCACCCTTCAAATCACTCAATTTTTTATAAGAATACCAATAGAATCCCTGATATTTTTTTTAATATATAAAATAGTATATATATATATATATATATATATATATATATATATATATACATTTTTGTGCATGTCTAATAATTTTTTTTAAAAACCTTGACCATTATTTATTTTTTCAATCTTGTTTATGGGCTATTTTACAAAATTATGAACTAATTATATTAAGATATTTTAATTATATTTTGATAATTTTTCATAAATATTAAGAATTAAAAAAATTATTATTTATTTTTATTTATTTAATGTTCTAAAATTTCAACCTTCCCGTTTTTAATACAAATCATTCTGTTCTTTATTTTCTTACCTTGAAAATCATTTCAAATTCTCACTTTTTCTATTATTTTTTAAGAAGCATATATTTTTAGACAATTGGACAAAAAAATTGAAAATATATTATTTCCCACATGTAACCAAATGATCTAGAATATTTAATTAAAGAATTATTCTAAACATGCTAAATTAATTTATACCATTCCACCTTAATCTTTATTATTTATGTCAATACTTGATCCAACACAAATAAAAAAAATGCTAACAATTAACAATTCTAATATATAAAGACCATGTCAAGTTAATATCTAACTCTTCTTTCACATCATTCTCTAACAAATAGTTGGGATTACATAAACAAAAACTTGAGATGAGAATGTATAGTTAAATATATAAAGTAGTTTAATTATTATTTTGACATTTAAAATAAACATTATATTTTTTTTCTGGGACCACTTCAACATAAACTAAACCTTTAAACCACTTTGATTTTATGAAAAACTATAATATAGCTTCATCAGAATTATTTCCCTTCCACCATGGTTTGTAACACAAACTAACAACTTTTAACACTGAGAAGTACTAACATAAGTGCAAAACATAATATGCATAAGACAAAGTCGTAGTACAAGTACTTAATTAGAGACATGAGAACACTGAAACCCTATTACATGAGCACCTCTAGTAGGGAGAGACACCTACATTAGCTGGTGCAAAAAACCCATCTTTGATAAGCACGTCCTCTCCCTCCTACAGGAAAATTTGAGATTAGAAACCCTAGAAATTAGAGTACTTTTTACATTGATGTGGTGCCAAAGGAAAATGAAGTAACAGTAACTAGGGTTTCCAAGTACCTGACGAACATTAGCTTTCTTCACGGGTTGATGATCAGGCATAAGTCCGAAATGAATATGTGGAAAATGGGCCCACTGAAACAAAAGCATGCCCCCACGTGAGAAAAAGGAAAAAAATAAATTAACCAACAATTCAACAAATACTAGTTAGACATATACAATCTCTTCAATTAGTAAAAGTTGGAAATAATCTAGAATGGAAAAAGTCCCTAAGAGAGTAAGATTTAGAATCTCCTTGAATCTCACATTCTTTGCAGCTGCACTAAAGGCCTCTCTGTGGCTTATATCAGGATTCCCAGCTTTGATACGTTGAATCTCATCCCTAACAAATTTAATGATCATATTAATTAGTTGGAAAGATAAACAGAAGACTTACATTAACAGACACTTGATAAAGGATTTGAATTATAACTCAATTAAATTTTGGAGTGTTACCAAATTAATCAGTACCATAACATGAAATTAGTGATACTAAACTTACTTGATGAAGCGGTTGTAAGCAGACGGAACTCTCTGTCTCTTCTCTGGAGCTGGACATCCAACACGCGGATATTGAATAGGCAAACAGACAGGAACATTAAATAACTTAGCTGACCTTTTTTATTCCTAATGCACACATACTCTCTCTCCCCTCCTTCTCTCTATTCTATCATTACCTCATCATTATCTTTAACAATCACTCTCTCAATTGATTCAGCACTATATTTTCGGGGGAGGATTCTGTCTCACTCAATGTATGCATGTAAGGAGACATGCATAGACCCAAAGAGAAAGAAAATGAGTTAACATGTTTTAGATTTGATTTCTTTATCACCCTTGAGTGAAAAACATGATGAATTTTATATTTTTTCCTTTGAAATTTTATTGTGGTGGGAAGATCAAAGAATATGAAAATGGATTGCTTCAATTTCAAAACTAATGAAAACGTCGTGTTTAGTCAAATTGAAGAAGAAAAGCTGGATTTCTCAGTAACGAGCTATACAGTGTATATTAATGCAGGAAAGAGGAAAAAAAAAAAGTAATGCACGAGATAAATGTGCTAAAGATTGTTCTCTCTTTGCTATTTGCAGAATACCAAGAAACCTTAGCCACTGTTTAAGATTGACTAGTGAGTTTTGATAGGGATAGAACAATTTTTGGGTTTTGCTTTTCTCCCTTTATTGGTTAAGTGAGACCACTGTGAGCTTAAAAGAAGTGCGAAATGGACTGAATGGTATCAGAAGAGTTTCCTTTTCTTTTTCTCTAGCTTTTCTTTTGTGGTATCAGAAGGATCTCTGATAACCGCATCCAAGAAGTAGAAAAAGGAAACTTGAGAAAAAAAAAATGAAAAACCAAACATGAAAAACAGGTGTTTAATTTTTTGAGGTGACCACAAAGAAAAAAAAGTGTAAGAAAAAGAAAAACCAAGAGCTTATTCAACAGTAACTAGGTTAGGAAAATAGAGAAAATTCTCACGTCTGTTTGCAGATGGAGGCTTAGGGGTTTCTTCAGGCCCTCGCATGGTAGTCATAACCAAATCATTAGGGTTTGGCAGCTGGTTCATCATCATGTTTGTTGAAGGTGCATTACGAATCTCCTCCTGAAATATCAATTTCAATTCTCATATAATTGGATCATTACAGTTTCCATTTCAATTCTTTTCTGGGATAACTACACAAACTAAAAAGAGAAACAATCTCTCAATTGAAAGCCCTAACTATCTCTCACTAACACATGCAAGTAAATATATACCAGAAGATTTTGAGGAGTGAAGAAGGTGTGGCCAAGGTGAAGCTGATTAGTTGAAGGCAGAAGCAATCCACGCATGTTGACTGAGAGAAGGTTGGTGCAATGACCACATCTCACAGTGACAGTCTTAAACAAACTTGAGCAAGGAACACTCACCTATATGTTTGAAAACAAGAAAGGAGAAGGAACATATGAAGATGTAAAGTGAAGAAAAAGAAGCAGTGTGATTGCATTAAAAGAGAAACTAAAATTGAAGAGGAGGGTGATGGATGATACGGCGAGGACAGTGTCACAGAAGTTGCAATGGACATAGCAGAGCTGGTCGGAGGGAGAGAGGTGTTGGTCCGGTGAAAAGGAAGTAGATGAGGAGGACATGTTGTTCCTCTTTTTGTTGATTCTCTTTTCTATCTTCTGATTATTTGATTTGATTGATGGGATTGACTGATCAGTCCCGATTTTGGTGATGGACAGATAAACTTCCTATGGATCTGATGCTTTTGATTGTTGAGTTACTGTTAAAAAGGCTGGCTAAGAAGAGAAAACAAAAGAGAAAGAAAGGGAAAAGAGAGACATATGAAGGGATGTCACTTAAGTATTAAAGGATCAAAACGTTAGAAAGCCATTTCTTACTCTCTGCATTTTCATTCCTTCTTATATATATATACATACATACATACATATATATATATATATATATATATATATATATATATATATTAATAACAGCTATATTCCTCCATATTACCATATTTTTTGTGCCACTGTGTATTATTAGTCAATCTTATAATCATTTAATGTTAATCTCAGCTAAATTTTACAGGGTTCATCTTTTGCATGTGTGGTTAATAACTGCCATAGTTTTAACTTACAGCACAATAACATTAAAATTGTTATTGGTCCACCACCATAAATGTGCATGGATGCATATGCAAATATATATATATTAAAAATATATAATGAGAGTGTATATTTAAATCTTTAGTTTTACAATAGATGTTCGGTATCCTCAACTTTTAATCCAACACACTGAATCTCAATTTAAAAATCAAAATTACAATATAATCAAGTTACATCAACATGCAAGATCTAAGATCTGAATTGTTTACATACAAAACTTTATAAAATCCATACATAAAGATGACAGATCTTTAGTTGTAATTAAATAAGGGTTTGATTATTAAGGGATGATATGACTCAAAAGTTGAGTTCTATATGAACCGAAAACACAACAAAGACAGCAAAACCTGCATTGAAAGAAAACATAGTGATTGTTAAGTGTGATTAAGTGATGGATTGAGTAAAAATTTCACTTGTATGAACTGGAGAACACAGGAAATGATAAAGATACTATAAAATGAATGCATCGGGGCAGAGGGTGAAGTAAATAAAACGAGAAGTTGAAAAAAATGAAATAAATGAATGGTTGGCATTCCCAATGGATGTGTGTGAGAGAGAGCGTAGCAGAGGCGGCAGAGGTGGGGGAACGGAGAGCGAAAGGGACGTGTGCATGGGAGTGATTAGCTTTGGCTCATTCACCTGTTGTTTTCAAAGTTAAGAAGGTTTACAGGGTGTCCTCGGTTTTCTACAATTCCATTTCGTGATCACATTTTATCTCTATCAAATCAAATCAAATCTTTGTTCTTTCTAAACCATGCGTTTAAAATGCAGCAACAAGCCCTATGATGGGCCAGTACTACAATCAAGATGTTATGTTAGAGCCATCTTGTTTTGTAACCCTTTCAGAGTTCAATGCTAGTGACCCACCTCACTCTTCTGTCATTAATTTCCCTTTGCAATCAATTCAATGTCAACACAGTACCACTACCATCTCATCATCTTTATTTTCAATTTTCACTGTTCATTGTCATTCCTTTCTATTCTTTTTTAATTAATACACATGCATCCTATCCCATCCAACCATTTTTCTTATCTTGGTCTTTATGTAACCTAATCACATATGCCAGTGAGTTCACCTTAGATCTCACATATTGGTTTTAAAACTAAGACATTGGTTTCCCAATAGATATATAACAGCATATTGTACATTGTGTCTGATTTATTAGTATCATGATTCTTGTTAAGATGTATTGAAGAGAAAGAGACAAGACGGATAATTTGATTCCTTTAAAAGTTTAGTCTCTTCCTTTGGATTCATGTTTTGAATCAGTTGCTACCAACCCGTATTTAGCTTTTGTAATAGTTTGACTATCTTTGTACTTTAATTAATAATATTTTTCATAAAAGAAAATGAAAAAAGTGATTTTCTAACTTAAACTTTAAAGGACAACGAGAGAAATAAGTATAAGTGCATTACTCTATAATTAAGTTTCATATGTGAGATATTAAATTAAAAGATAAATATATATGATTTAACCTATTAATTTTAAAACAATTTAAAATATAAAAAAGCTTTTGTAATTTAGAGCCAATCAATCTCATGTAAAGATTTCATTAAATTATAAAAATGCTAAGAACATATATGCACACACTTTAAATTTACTTAAAGAATATAATTACTTACTTTTTTAAATTTATTTAAAATTTTATTTTCTCAAAAGAAACTTACCATTTCAAGAAAATGATGAATAGGGTTAAAAGTTTAGTTATAAACATAATAGGGTTTTCTTTTAGCTACTATTCTAAAAAATATATTATATAAATTTCAACTCATGAAATAAATCAATTTAGAACAATATAATAAAATTAATTTACATCTCAAATTAATTATATTTTGATAAATAATAAATACTCCTACACCACATAACGACAATTTATCATTTTTATTTTATTATTTTATTCTTAATATGAAGCGGTCATTTTTAACCTGATATAAAGAAGGATAACCTTGGAGGAAGTGGTCGAATGAAAATAAGATAAGCTTTCATTTTGATAAGTTACAATCTGAGCTTTTATTCAGACGAGATAAAACACATTTCTTTGTTTAGATGCTTTTCAGGCTTCCTAGTCTTGGATTGGAACACTGTATTCTTATCTTAAAATTTTGTTTTTCATAGATGTAATAGGATAAAAAAAAACAATGTAATTGAATTTAAAAAATCTGGGATATTGAATGAGAATGAGGCATTTGGTTACTATATCTATCCAATAGTACATGGAGGTCACCCCGTGACAACGTCTTCACCATTCACATGCAACCGCAATCTCGAGTAATTGATTGATTAATTTGAGGATGATTTGCTTGGGATAACATGGAAGTTCAGGTATGTATTTTTTAATAATGGTTTGTGTGTTAAATGTTTTTGTCTCACGTGCCACGCTAGAGGACCCCACCTTTTCTGACTAAGTGTCTTATGGTTGATTTTTTTTGTTTTATCTTTTATTTTTTTAACCATCCATTTTTTTTTATGAAATATTTTGAAAGATATTCTAATACTCTAGTTTTTTTTTATATGAAATATTTTTAAAGATATTCTAATTCTCTAAGTTATTTAATGAGTTATTTATAATTTTATAGTCTCAATTAGTTTATACATGTTAACTACCAAGCATTAATCAATTAGCATTCTACATAATCTATTAATGAAAATAGGATCCTAAATTTAGTTTCAGCACAGGTACATTATTCAAAGAATAGTCTCTATACATATATAAAAATCTCTCTCACACACACACACACACACACACACACACACACACTATATATATATATATATATATATATATATATATATATATATATATATATATATATATATATCATAAAGTTATCAAAATATTAATCATTGATTTCTCAATTATCAGTTTATCACTCTGAATTTTACTGCATAAAGTGACAGGAGCC